GTCCCGGGCCGCCTCAGGACGGCGTCCGGGGGGCCTCGGCGGCTCGGAGGCCCGGGCGAACGCCGGGCGGTGGGCACTGGAGCTGGGAGGACGGGAGGGCTGCGGCCCGGGCTCCGGGGTCGATTCCAGAGGCCCGAGGTTCCCCCAGGGGGCACAGGTCTGGCCCGAGGGTAACCGAAGCTAAGGGGCTGTCCCGGGAGCCCGGCAGGGCGTCCAGAGGGAGCCCGCGCCGAGCTGTGACCAGGGAGGAGTGGGTCGGCTGGGGGAGGGGGACCAGGGACTCCCGGGACACGCCCGGCCCGGCCCGCCCCCGGGCTCCCGTCAGCGCGGCCCCGCCCGGCCCGCCGCGGCCCCCTCCTCACCTGATGTATGGGCTGGCCGCCGCCAGGATGTTCTTCTGCACCGGGATCTCCTCCCCGTCGAGGACCAGGTGCGCGTCGCAAAAGCGGGACTCCTCGCGGAAAGAGCTGAGCGCTCGCAGCAGACGCGCGGCATGCTGTGGGTCAGACACAGCGCTGCCTTCGGCCATCTCGGCGCCGGCTCGTCAGCCCTCTGGTCCAGCTGCCCCAGCCGCCCCGCCAGACCCCTCGAGCTGCCCGCGTCCGGCGCGCGCCCGTCCAGCCCGACTCTGCACTCGGAGAAGCGGAGCCCCCGGAACGCGCCTGCGCCATCGGCGGCGCAAGGGGCTTGCGCCTTTAAGGAGCCGCGGCGTTGCGTCATTTCTCCGCGACGCCCCCGCGCCCTCGGGCCCTCCCCCTCGCCAGTGATCGCCGGAGGCGGCCAATCAGAAGCCTCGTTCCTCTGCTGGATCAGCTGGTCGCGGTGCGTCTGTCCGCCGCTAGGAACAGTTGCTGCAGTGGTGGAAGGTGTGCAGGCACCTGGGACTCTGTGGTTCAGCCCGGGGCCTCTGGCGCCGCGAGTCTGAATCCGAGCCTTGGCTCTTCCACTCAGTAGCTGTGTGGCCATGGGTAAGGTGCCCATCCTCAATTTCTCCATATGCAAAATGAAGGTGATGACTTCTTCGTGTTGTTGTGGACTCTTGTGAGCTCACGCGTGTAAGCAAGGGCGCAGTGGGTGTAGCTTTTCTTATTGATGAGAGAAAAGGCGCTTCCCGGGTAAGAGGACAGAGAGCCGAGAAAGCAGGCCCTCAGAGCATCTGGTTGCCGGCTACGGAGGAGATGTAGCAGATGAAGCTAGAGAAGTACTGATAGGCCTTATATTTTGCAGAGCCTCCTTGTCTGTGGTAAAGAGGTTGGTCTTGATCCTGCAGGGGTTAGGAACTATGAGAGGGTTTTGAACAGGGTGTTTTATAAAGATCACCCAGCTGCGTGGAGAATGAGGAGGGTGGTGCTAAAGGCAGAAAGATGCTTAAATATTGCAGTACTTGAAGGAAGGGCCCGGGGACCTAAACCGAAGGATGGCGATGGACGTGGATAATAATGGGCGGCTTTAAAGGAGTAGACAGAATTGCGAGGGAGAGGGGGTCAGGACAGTGTTCTGGTTGAGTAACTGCTTGGATGTTGGGACTTTTCAGACAGATAGGAAATGCCAAAGGAGTTGGATGTGTGTGTAGAGAACCAGATGTTAAGATGTGACTAGAGTCCCAACCCGGTGAAGATCAGAGTTGTGACAGGAAGCAACTTTGGGTGAGCTCAGTCAGGGCAAGCCCCTTTGGTCTGAGGTTTCCCTGGAGGTTAAAGGGCACATGGGAACGTGGAATGTACCCACCATTTTGTTCAAACACTAGGTTGTTTGTACAACCTGATTGTGCAAACATTAGTTCATTTGTACAACCCTCAATAAGCTTCTAAAGAATTAGCAATTTTTCTGGAGAATTAGCGATTAGGGCCAAGGACCTGAAGAATGGTCAGCATTTCAGATAAGGCAGGAGGGGGTTTTCACTGGATCAGTTCAATCTTTTTCTTCAACCAGCTGAAAGGGTCCAGTACAGCCTTGAGTCTTTACCCTGAACCAGCTCAGGCTTTGGAGTCACCGCAGGAATCAGAGTATATAACTCTGGCAGAGTCACTGGCAGAATAGATGGGGAAAAGGAAGTTAATAATGGAAGGTCTAGACATTTCTAGTTCCTTCTTCAAACTCAGCTCAGCATTTATGGATGAAATGATAAGGATGTCTCAGATTGGCTTCAAAACAAAATGAAGGGATGGAGGGAAACGGGTGAGGATATAGATGAATCAAAAGTGTCTATGAGTTACTAATTGTTAAAGCGGGTTGTGGGTACACGGAGTTTCATTGTATTAGTCTCTGTATTTTGTGTATGTTGTAAAATGTCACAATAAAAGTAAAAAAAAAAAAAAAAGAGATAAGCAGCTCAAACTTATCTTCTCCGTGATACCTGCCCAGTATCCCTGGAAGCAGTCAAAACTTCTTTCTCCAAATTGTTGCTGTACTTTGAACATTGCTCTGGCAGGTAACTTATTATAAATGGGTTTATTTATCCATGTCACCAGCAAGCTTGTATATTTAAGCGGCTCGATTTCCAGGTGCGAAGCACAGTGCCGGGCCCTGGTAATGCTCACTGAATGTTGGATGGATGGAGGGATTAACAAAATTGTGAATACCAAGCACTTAATAAATGTTTTCTGAATTTTATCTTCTGTTTTTAGTTGATTTGTCTTTGTCTTCATTCTCAACTGGGTTGTTGGGGTCAAAGATGATGTATATGACAGTTCTCTGTACAATATAGTTATTTGATAAATACTTATTAATTGCATGGAATGCCAGTCTTCAACTATCAGGAGGTTCCAAAACAAAACAACTTTCAAATAACAGAATTACCCTCAGGTGACCAGTTTCCCCGGAATGGGAGTGTTGCCTTAGTTGAAATAACTGGAGGTGACCGTAGGCTCTTCCTGGTAGAGGTGAACCTTCTCTGGCATTTTGACAAAAGAGAAGGAAGGGGTAGGCTCTGCCCCACAAAGCCTTCCTCCCACCCTTGGGCCCTCTTCCTTCCTACAGCACCAGGATAAGTTTTCTTGGGGCACCTGAGCTGACCTCAACACTTTATTGAAAACCTAGCATCCTTTTGATTGTTAACTCCCACCTTAGTAAACCCAAGGTGATTTTCTGATTACCAGGGGACATCTGGGCAGAGGGCTATAGACAGACTGTAGACAGACCTGCATCAACCAGGGAAAAGGTAGTTGCTGGCTTGAGAGGATCACCTGCGCAACAGGCGGCTCATCAACAGAAGACCTTATTTGTGCTTTCAGAAACAGCCCCGCTGTTGGCAGTATTTCCCAACAACCCACCTGCCTGAGTAACTCATTCATCTTTCAAAACCAAGCTCAAACATGACCTTCAAGGAAGGTCTCCAAGCAGCCTCTCAGGTCAGAGTCCCTGTGCTATGCCATGTTCCTGCTTTCTGTGCTGGACTTAACCGCACTGTAATTAACCAGTTTCTAAGTTGGTTTGTGAGCTCCTTCAAGATAGGAGCTGTGTTATATTCAGTCATGTTCCAAGGGACTTGCATAGTGCCTGGTACTTAATAGATGCCGCTCGAGTGCTTTTGCATAATTAGAGGTAGCAAGTTGGGAAAATGAGCACAGGAGGCAGGATGTAACTAACACAGTGGGGTCAGGGGGATGACAGGGAGCTGAGCAACACCCCGTCCAGAGCAGGAGGCTGCCCCTCAGCTCTAGATGATTGCTCCATGGGATTAGGGCCCAGTGGGGCCAAAACCAGTGATTTTTCAAGAGATCTGAAAATTCAGATCCACATGTCAGATGTCCCAGTTTTTCAACATTAGCTCCTCCTTTCATTTGGGAGAAAAAGATGCAGCATGTGTCTGCAGACAGGTTCTGGCTTTAATTCACTTCCAGAGGTAATCAGAAAATCACCTTGGTTTACTAAGAGGGGAGTTAACAATGAAAAAGATGCTAGGTTTTCAATAAAGTGTTGAGGTCAGCTCAGGTGCCCCAAGAAAACATCCTGGTGCTGTAGGGAAGGAAGAGGGCCCAAGCGTGGGAGGAAGGATCTGTGGGGCAGAGCCTGCCTCCCATCAGCTGCAAGAGCCACTCCTGGTCAGCCCTTGGACTGTTTTGTAGCCTTTCTTGTTATTGCTCCAACTGAGCCACCCTTGATACTGTTTACAGCCATCAGAATGGTATATTTGGTGTTATTGTTTCCCCACATTCCATAGATTTCAGACCTCAGCTGTTGTGAAACCAGTAATTTGAGATCCGGTAGGCTCCCAGCCATTTCAGTCCCTGGTGACTGTAACTGACCCCTTCTGCTTTAGTGGCTAAACAACCCCCAGAGAAAGGATTTTCTTTTTCTCCTTTTTTTCTTTTTTTGACTAAAATTCACAAGATATCAGCAGTGGTCATTCATTCAACAAATATTTATTCAGCACCTGCCATATGATACGTAGCAGATACAACCATGGTGAAAACAGACATAGTTACCTCACTGGTATCACTGTAGAGACTTTTTACTCTGTGCTTTTCTGATCATGAATCATTTTTACAATCAGAAAAAAATTTTCCAGTTGCAAAATGGAAAAAAAAAAAAAAAGCTTTGGGCGCCTGGGTGGCTCAGTTGGTTAAGCGACTGCTTTCGGCTCAGGTCATGATCCTGGAGTCCCCGGATCAAGTCCCGCATCGGGCTCCCTGCCGAGCGGGGAGCCTGCTTCTCCCTCTGACCCTCCCCCCTCTCATGTGCTCTCTCTCTCTCATTCTCTCTGTCTCAAATAAATAAATAAAATCTTTAAAAAAAAAAAAAAGCTTTATTTTGCTTTGAAAAATGAGCCCTCATAGAAGAGAAGAATCACCTTGGAGTTTGGGGGTTTGTTTTTTTAATAAATGTTGGAAAGAGGAATGAGAATCCAGTAAAAGAAATAATGCAAAGAAAGAACTCAATAGTTTGGAGCCTCTTTAGAAAACACTGACTCTCAGATTCAATTTGTTGAAGAGAAAACTGACCAAGATGAGTCAAGGACTCAGTCAAGGTCATACATGTGACCTAGTCGAAGCGGAACACACAGGCCCAGAGTTCTGCCTTCTAGCCCTGTAAGCTTTTCCATTACACCAAGTTGACTCTTCGTAAACATTAATTTGGTTGAGACAGTCTCTTCTGATTCATTTTAAGCGGTCTCTTCTGATTCATTTTAAGGCGGTCTTCGCATATTTTATGAGTAAATCTGTCATTTGTCCAAATCTATTTATAGCTCCTTTCTTTCGGAAAATCTAAGCTCTTCCAAATTGCTGAGTCAGAGAGCATCTCAGTATTTATAACTCTTGAGAGTTGATTCCATGTATTTACAAAATATTCAGAGAAGTGTCTCAGAAGCCAGTGAACTAATTAAGTTGTAACGAAGATAGTGACTGTTTCTGACCAAATCCGTGCTGTACTCCCCAGCACACGGTACAGTGCGGGACACACAGTAGATACTCAAGAAATATTTACTTGAATGAATAAATGTTAATAACTAGGGAGAACTGAGATTTTTCTGTCCGTAAGGGATTACTTCAGATGATTTCTACGACTCCCCCACCGAACACCAAGCAACAGTTTGCTAATAACTCCAAGTGAATATCTAATGGGCATCTGCAACTCAACATGTCAGAAATTAAACTCTTGGTTTACCCCTTAAACCTAATCATTCCTCAAATCTGTGGCAGCATCATTCGTTTAAGGACTGAAGGAC